ACTTTATTTCTCTACCTCCTCACTAATTTCTTATTTTTTCTTGCAAAACAAACCTCTATCCTCTATCCCACCCCATACATTCTCACTCACACTCCCTCTCCCTCCCTCTCCCTCTCCCTCTCCCTCTCCCTCTCACACACAAGAGCACCAGTAACACCACTGTCCCAGTTTCAGGCCCACTTTTGGTATTTCAAAAGAGGGATGAGAGTCTGGTATCCCAAAGGCAAAGGCGGTTCAGTTCTGGCAAACACGGAGGCCGCGTATGGAGCCTTCCCTTCGTTTCTCCAGCCGCGTCCCTCGAGGGCCGCCCCTCACCTCGGATTAAAGGCAACCACAGCAACCCCAGTTAAGTGAGAAGGGTCGAGAGACAGGCATGGCCCGAACACTCTAGAGGCGTCTGATCACCGTATTTACTTTAAAACACAAATCTACCCTTCGCTTGGCTACTGGACTGATACACCGTAGTGAACGTAACTAGAGAGGGAACCGTCAAGCGGGGAGGCTGAAGCAACTTTTATTTCCTGTGACGGGGAGATTCAGCATTTACCACCATGCAGTTGCCCTGCGAGAGGCGTCCTTTAGCGCATGCGTGTGGGTGCTTGTAAGTGGTCTCGCGAGAAATCAGGAGGGGCTAAGAGGTGCGGGGGGGGGGGGGGGGGGAGAAGGGGAAGGGATGGGTGGGAATGCCTTTTGTAACTTTTAAGTTTGCTTGCCGGGTTTGAACGATCCGCAGGCACCCATCGTCATAATCTAAAGATCTTTGGGATAGGGGCAGAAAGATCGTCTATTTATGTCACAGACACGTGTAAGTTAAAGGTTTAGGTGGAAGCGAATTCCGATGAATCCCTGGAGACCCTGGACACTCCTTTGCATCCAGATAGAATCCATATGCCGCCCTGAGTCTCCGGACAAAGGCGGCATATAAATTGAATTATTAATATTATTATTAATAATAATAATAATATAGCCCGTCCTTTCCCTTCCCCCGGTCCTTTTGGACAATCATTTCTGTCCCTGCCTTGTTTCCCGGTCACATCAGGTCGGTACCGTATAAAACGCAACGCAGAATCCGGCTTGCCCGCAGCCACCTGAACCGACCTTTCGTAGACCTGCAGAGGAGAAGCCCCACTGTTCTTGTCTCGGAGATCAGCGCCTAATTCCCAGACATCCTATTAAAGCTCCCAGGACGATCTAACGTCAACGGGACCGAGCCCTTCCACGGCATCGCAGTGCCAAAGTACCTTCTAACAAAGATTGCAGCGGCTGCTGCTCGTATGTGTGCGCGCCTGCGATTGATTGAGAGCCACGGCCATTTGTCAAAACAAGAAATCTAAAGGAAAGAAGCCTCTCTGGATAAAGTCAAGAAAGAAACCTAACAATTTAGATTTAGGATGTTTCCCCTTTCCCTTAAACCCCTTGTAGTATTTGAGGTGACAAATCACCCAATATAGGTCTTTAAAAATAGGTCACTGCATAAAGAGACTCCCAGAGAGCAATAAGAAAGGTAGGCGAGGACTCTTTTCAGGAAATAAACCCTTTGACTTCGCTGTCTTATTTGCTGCCTGGCATGAACTCAGCACAGGACAAATAGCACTTCTAAATGCGGGGGGTGGGAGGGGGATGAGGGTGGGCTTTCTCTCTTGGCAGCAGCCCCCAGATGGCATAAAATGCCAATCGGCCAGGGGTTATGAGTATTGGAAAGAGAGGTAGGTGGGAATAAATAAAGACGTGAAATCCGCCGTAACCTCCTCTGTAATTCATGTGGGGGTTAGCATACGATGAACCTTTTTACATCACAGATCACAAGCTGCCCTTTTTAGTTTGCCTTATTTAACGGGGGCACCTGTTTTGGACCCACAGTCATTGTCATAACCCCTTCTCTATCTTATTCATAATCCGGGACAGGCCACAAGGGAATACTTGAATTCATCACTTTTTCACTACTCCCTGAGTTCCAGGGTATAATGGGTTGAAATGGGTTGAAGAGAAATAATTACTCTGCTTTAAATCCTATCTTAATCCGAAGCCTTGGTGTGAAACAGAAATCCCGTCTCTCCCTCCCCCCTCCCTTTATTATTATTTTTTTCAAAAAAATATTTTTGCTTCCCCACCTCATCCGTTTCTTTGTTCCCCCTTGAAGGGCTACCATGTTTTATAGGAATAGTTAAATATATGCCTTCGGTGTCGAGTGCAGAGCTGGAGAGATCCGAAGCCTCTCCGAGCTTCGTCAGAGCGGTGGCGTTAAAATACAGCTCTTGTGCCTTTTGTTGAGCTTCGCAAAGGAAGGTGTAGAAGAGATTTATTGAATTTTAGCTTAACAGACATGAAGTTTCACGGGTAGATCATAAATAAGCGGGGAAGGGGGTCTGGGGAATTGAAGGTTTCCTCTCAGTACCAGAGCCTAGGCGTGAAATGGGGCGGGGGGGGGGATGCGAGGAGGGTGATTCCAGGTAATCGTTTGTGGAAAAAAAGTCACTCACCAGAACGACAAACACTGAAGGTGCAAGAGGTTCATTCAGTTTTGCTGGCATTCTGGAATGTTCCTCTGCCGCCCCCCCCCCCTTCCCTTCCCGGGAGCCAATCTGGTTGCGATTTCAAAGGAAGGAGGGATGGTGAGGTGGGTGTCAAAACCCGATTTAGGTAAGTAGTGTCACCTGAAATTGTGAGAGCTCTTCGTTTATAAACAAAGGGCCTTGGGAAAGAATATCTCAACAGGCATCAGTATCGCGGCTTCTGTACAACATCTATGCCAACACCATCCTTCGCAGCCCTTTCCTCCTCTCGAAAATGACCGTTCCCATTTCATATTTAACTAGATACTAAAAAACTGACAAAAAGGACTCTGCCTTTTTGGCCATAATTCGGAACTCGATGCTTTCATATTTTTCTCTCTTTTCAAAGCCAAGAGCAACTGACGAAAAATGTTTCTTTTTTCCCCCCCCGCCCTCCTCTGAAAGCGAGGAGCGAGCGAGCGAGAGAGAGCAGTGTCCCAGATAAACCTCCCCTGCCTCTCTGGGATCCTTTACCACCTTCTGATCTTCAGCCAGCCTTCACCAGAACCAAGAAATGACACGGCCCCTCTGGGCTCCAAGTCCTTCACCTCCAAGAGCAGTATTTCTGCTTAAGCTTTTGTGGAAGCCGTAAAAAAAAAGGGGGGGGTATTGTGGGAGAGAAAGGCGGGGGAATCCTTCCTTGTCAGGATCATCTGGAGTTTTTAAAAGGAAATGAAATATCTCCCTTCCGTTCTTTGGTGGCCCTTTTCTCTTGAATTATAGCTCGAGCTACAGGAGGACTGCACGTTCTCGTTTGCTTTCCCTCTGCTGTCCTCGAGGTATTACCAGGATGATATATTTTCTAAAGCTTAAGCTCAGTTCTTTGAATGTACTATGCAGAAAATGATGTAGTAGTATTAACAGCAACAGCAGCAACAGTAATAGTAATAATAATAATAATCTAGTGAAGGCAATCTACGGGATATAAATTGGTCACAAAGCGGCAGGAACCAAACACCAGTTAAGTATATTGTGGAAGTAAAGTAAAAAAAAAAGCAGAGATCGCCCCGTTTCTTAGGTCTGGACACAAACGCTATAGCAATATATGAAACAATAATTCATTAATATTTTAAACAAGAACCAAAACAAACAACCCCTCCCCCACAAAGAAATAGAAAAAAATTGCTGTTGAATTAGTCCAATCATACAGTATACAACGGGAGAGAAATAATATATCCAATAACAAGTCCTTCAAATTGTATTATTTTAGATTAAAATATATCCCAAACGGGGACTTTATTACTGAACTCTTATGTAAAGCTTGCTAAGATTAAAAATCACACAAGATGTGGGCACACATTGATGGAAGCTTCTTTGAGCATTGCAAATAAAAGGTACATTCTTATAACTTCGGAAAATAGAATGCATAAACGTGCATGCAAAATTAGAATAAGCTTTTGACGAAAAATAATCCTTACCTTGTGATAAGTTCATTCCTTCTGCCTTTGGTTAGAAATAATGATGGTAATGATGATGATGATGATGCTAGTACAATTTCTAAAAGTCTAATAATCATCATACTGAAAGACGGGAGGGGGGAGTAGGAACTGGAAAGGAAATATTGATGGGATTTTGGAGGGTTATTTAATTTCTCCTCCAACCACACTGTATTATCCTGATGCAATAAAGCCAGGCTGTAATGTAATTTTAAAATATATACGTCCAAGCAAATAGTGGGGACAGAATATGACAAGGGTATTTCCACATTATAATTCAAGTGGGCTCCACCTACCCTCCGCCTCCCAATTAATGGCCTAACCAAGTTGCGAGGGAGAGCCTGCATTGGCCAGACTTGAAAGGGAGCGAGGAAGAGGCAGGCAGAGAGAGGGGCGAAAAGGGTCAGGATCGCCTCCTAGTCAACAATCACTTGTTAGCCAGAGTCAATTACCTCGCCTCCGTCTCTCGCTGCTTTTTCTGCCCCAGCCCGAGGAAGAAGAGGCTGGCTGGGGAAGAGACCCCCTCTTGCTGGGAGAGAGAGGGAGGAAGAGAGAGAGGGAGAGAGAGAGAGAGAGAGAGAGAGAGAAGGGGGCATCTGGAACTACTGGGGAGGGGGTGTCTCCTAAAACAGCAGCTGCGAAGAGCAGAGCCAGCTAGAGAATAAAGTGGGAAGAAGCGCCTTAGCTACCTTTTCCCTGGGCAGGACCGCAGATTCTTGGCCGTCCAGGAAGGGCTCCTCAGCCCCTCGTTATCCCGTCGCCCCCATTCTCCCGTCCCATGGCCATCAGCCCTGCTAGGTAGCGTGGCCGCCGTTTGGGTTAGGTTGGGGGTCTGTTTTGTTTTGCCTTTTCTTTCTTTGGGCGCCCCCCCCACCCCTGCCTCCTCTTCGCTTTTCCGTGTTGGCGATTGCAGGAAAGAACGGCGGGGGTGTCAAAGCAGGCTGAGAGGAACCAGGAAGTGAAAGGGGGTGCCTTGGTGGGGAAGGAGAGGAATCCCAAACACCCGGCAAGCATGACTTCCAAAGACGAAGGCAAAGCTGCCTCGGCCGAGGAACGCCGGAGAAGCCCTCTGGACCACTTGCCACCTCCGGCCAACTCCAACAAACCCCTGACGCCCTTCAGCATCGAGGACATCCTCAACAAGCCCTCGGTGAGGAGAAGCTACACCATCTGCGGGACTGCCCACTTGCTCTCCGCCGCCGAGAAGCACCCCCCGGCTGCCCTGCCCCTTTCTAGCCGGGCACTGCTCTCGCAAACCTCGCCTCTCTGCGCCCTCGAGGAGCTAGCCAGCAAGACCTTCAAAGGGCTGGAAGTCAGCGTCCTGCAAGCGGCAGAAGGTAAGACGCGGGGCCGGCTGACCGGCCCGGGCCTCCATCCTTGTAAGGTGGTGATGAGATGAGGGTAGGACCGGGAGTTGTGGCCATTGCGTTTGTTGGAGAGCGTCCGCTGAGAACTTCCCCGGCAGCCGGCTCGAGAAATAAGGAGTCAGGGCGAGCGGCTTCTTGGAAACAAACCAACGGGGGGGCCCCCCCTAAAACAAGGAGCAGTTCCACCTGCCTAAGACTCTAGGTCGGACCCTTTGAGAGGAAAGTAGGGAGGTTTTGCAAATCAACATCTTCCCTTCTGTCTCTCCCTCCCTCCCTATTTAGACCTTGCTGGATTTAAGCAATTCTGGCGTGAAATGTGGGCGACTCTGGAGCACCCATTCGATTTCCGTCCCCCACCTCCAATATATCTATAGCGGTCCTGACGGGGCCTGGGAAGCTGGGGCCTCCTCTCCCTCTAGCCGGGAAGGAGAAGAGTCCCGTTGAATCTGATCTGGCCTGTGCGCCGCAACACGGTTTTGGGGGGCCTTTCACAGATAGCGAGGCGGGAGAGAGGCCGGGATGGGTGTTTCCCTTAGGGCCGTGTGGCTCTTGTCCTCCGCCCCAGTCTTTTCGGGCCCCAGACTTGAGAGAGGGAGCCGCCTGGGGAGTGGGCTGCGGGCGGGCGGGCGCTTTCTCTGCCTGCGGGCCCGTTTGCACGGGGGACTGAAAAGCCTTCTTCTGCCTGTTTGCAGGAAGGGATGGGATGACTATTTTTGGCCAGAGGCAGACCCCCAAGAAAAGGAGGAAATCTAGAACAGCCTTTACAAACCATCAAATCTACGAGCTGGAGAAGCGCTTTTTGTACCAGAAATATTTGTCCCCCGCTGATCGGGACCAGATAGCCCAGCAGTTGGGTTTGACCAATGCCCAAGTGATAACGTGGTTTCAGAATCGCAGGGCCAAACTCAAGCGGGACCTGGAAGAGATGAAAGCAGACGTGGAGTCTGCCAAGAAACTGGGACCCAGCAGCCAGGTGGATATTGTAGCCATTGCTGAGCTGGAGGCAACCCCTGAAGGGAGAGCGAAGTCCCGCTCCCTTTCTCCCACCCATCCCAAACATGGACTGGAAGGTAACGGGGCCCTCCAGCTCTCCCCGGCCTCTCCTCTCACGGACCAGCCGGGCAGTAGCAAGGACTGCTCGGAGGACGAAGACGTGGAAATTGACGTCGATGACTGAATGGTGACAGTGGTGATGGCGGCCCTCCTCCTCTTCCTTCTATTCTCCCAGCTCTTCTTTTGCCTCGCAAACAAAAACAAGCAGAGAAATGGCCCAGGCATTTCCTCTCTTTCCCCCCCCCACCCGCCCACTTCCCACCTCTTGGCAAGGAGAGAACTGCGCCCCTCCACGCTTCTTCCTCAGTCAGCAGCCCCGGGGGAGGAGGGGGGGGGGAACCCGCCGGACTTTAGGAGGGATTGGAACTCACTTCCTTGACAACTCAGTTGTTTATCCCTCCAACAAAAGCAATAAGCAATATAAAATAATCACACTTGTGACCATGACAACAACGACGACGACGACAACGATGATAGTATGAATCAATATCCCAACAGCTGCCTAAGCAGGTAGCTCTCATTTTTGGAACTGTGCAATTATGGGTAACTTCTGTATAGATATATTTAAGCATATGTATTGGATACTTACTTTTTTAGGGTTTTTTTTAAATTAATAATATACATTTTTGTTGTTGTTTATAAGAGAACTCATAACCTTGGAATAAATACCATTACTTCAACGCATCGTTAGGAAGTTTTTTGCTTTTAAATTTTTTTTACTCCATGTAAAATTTAAGTTTGACTCTGGCTAGCAGCCTTTTCCTTGCATGTTTCCTATATGCACGATCTTTATTTAATTTATTTAATTTGGTTTATTTTACCATTATTATTTGCTCCTATTTTTCTGAAATATTGCGGGGATAGATCCTCTATGGAAGTTTGAAATATATACTTTTCCCCCATTCCCCCCCCCCAGCACCTAGGATTTGATCTCAAGTGAGATTCTGCCTCATTTTATCAATTAAAAACTATTTTTACCATTTATTGCTATTGTTGTGCTTTTATTTAAGAGAAAGAAAGGCTGCCTTTTGCATTTTTATATGAAGGTGATTTCAGAAAAGAATCTACTTATTTTGTACTCTTTTTTAGAATTGTTTTGCATGCTAGAAAAATAGTAAGACTATTATGATTGCTAATAATAATATAAATAATAAGAGATCCTACATCAACAAATGAGGATATTAGCACTATAAATATAAATGTACATATTTTTTTCTTTGATCTGTAAAAACAACAGTTTTAAAGGCCTGCTTATTTAAGTTACCACAGAGACAATGTTGTGGTCTCTTAAAGTTGTACAGATGAGATTTTTCCTAAACAATAAAACCTTTAAAATTTTAATATATGGATTTTTAAGGTTTTCTTTGAGAATTACGTTCTTAGAAAGCCAGATGGTTTGGGATTCAAATTTAATTCCTTAAATGCTTTAAGAATAGTGAAGTTTGCTTTTAGCTGTAGAAGGACAGAACAAGTTAACTGTCTTTTTGAGCTGAGTAATTATCAAAAAGAACCATGCATTTCAAACCAACCATAATCGGTCAAGAAACAAAAGTAACATTGGGAGAGGTTCCCTAAAGGAATAATACTTTAGGATGCATGATTGTGGAAGTTATCAAATGATGCAACTTCCATGGGAACAAAACGATGAGATTTTGAAATAAGATCCGTGCGCCTCTGTGTGTGTGTATTTGCACACATATCGTTATTTTAAAATATAGCATATAGGAGATAGTTTATGAAGCAGATTTCTCTGTGTTGCATGCAGAATTATCACACTTATCCGTTAGATTCCACTTTTATCTATGGATTCATTTCTAGCAAGGTATTTTTAAAATACAAAGTTATTTATTGCTAAACCATGCATTATTAATACGGATTTTTTTAAAAAAAGAAAAAAGTTAAATCACTTGCTTTTGTAAGGGGAGTGAGAAAGAAACACAATACATATTGAAAATCATAACACCCATCCATCCCCACCTAATTGTCAAAAACGGAGCTGGGGGGGAACCTTCAGGTAAATGTTGCTTTCTTGATTATCACTTTGGGGCCAAATGGTCTTTAATTTTCCACCCCTTCCTTTTTATTCTTTTAAATGCATCTCCCTTGCCGCCCAATAATGGCTCGTTCTGGGATTTTTTTGACGGTCCAACGCGTGTTTTCCCATTCTTGGTGAAATTTATGTGAGAAATGCAAACCTGGCGGACCCCGCGGCCAAGCGATGGGGGGGGAGGCAAAAAGAGGAAGAACTGGGGGTTCCAACTAAGGGGAGGGGGGCGCCGCGAATTTCGTGTGCGTGTCCCGGGGAGGGCTTGGGGGGAGCAGTTTCTCTCAGGCGAAATCAATCTTTCTCCCCTTTGGAAATGGATGGCGTTGTAATTTTTAGCGTAAAGCATGAAAACTGGGGACAAATGAGGCCTCTTCTGTGAAGTGACAAGCGACAATGGGGCCTGCGCTGCCTCCTGCGGCTCGCCGTGCTGAAAGAAGCGTGTGCCTCCGTCGTGGAAAGGACCAAACCGCTTGGAGACCATATGGTTTTTGAATTTTCCTCACCATTTCCAGACAATTTGATGGATTAGGTTAACCCTCCCTTCCACTGTTTAACTCCGCAATAATGGGAGTGGAGCTCTCCTTCTCTCTGCCCCCCTTCAGCCCCCCCTCCCTGCACTAGGGCATCTGTGCCTTTCGAAGGGCGCTTCCATTCTTCTCCTTTCTCTCTTGGCATTTGAAACAAGTCTATGAATTACAATGAAAGGCACTTTCTTTGGTCTTATTTGGGACAACACTTGTCTTTCTCGCCCCCTCCCCACTTCGCATCTACAGGGAGGAGGGGGGTCTGTTTGCCAGGGATTTGTTTGACTCCTGTCCAGATACCACGCAAAGCCTTCAATCTTGTCCTTAAGTGTTTTTATGCTAAGCAGGCATATCGTAAAGGCTGAGAAACTGTGACATTTATGTGAAGATCTAGTTAAAGGGCTTTATTTGTTTTCTTTATCTGTTCTTTCCCTCCCCCTTCTCCACAGATTCTCTTTCTTTCTTTTTCTCTCCCTCTCTCCCCCTTCCAGCTTTTCTTCTTTTGTCTTCGAATGGATTTAATGAGGCTGCAAAAATGCTACAATTCAACGGAAGCAAGAGATGTGGTGTGTTTTGAGAAAGAAAAGAAAAGAAGAAGAAGAAAAAAGAAAAGAATGGGTGTGGGGAGAACCGAATAGGAGTTCATTTGGAGCTATTGACTCCAGGGACAAGAGAGAGAGACAGAGAGAGAGAGACAGAGATGGAGCCAGAAGCCTCACACAAGTTTTCCACACGTGGCTACAAGCAGAGTTTTGCTCGCGTTTGCAGCAGCGCGTTCTTCCGGCCTAGTAGTGGTGAGGTTTGTTCCTGTAAATTGTTGGCGCTGCAGTCAGGTAGGTGGCACGGAAAGAGTCAAAGATCCGATCCTGAGATGCCCGGTTATCTCCAGAAAGCCGATCCCTGGAAGCTCCTTTGCATTCCTGGGGGCTTCCCGCTTCATTCGTGGCCCTTCTATCCACGTTTGCCTCCTTTCCTTTGATCTTCCAGGAGAGAGAGAAAGAAACAGAGACAGGGACAGAGAGAGACAGAGAGAGGTGGTCAAAACGAATCTATCTGGACAATAGGGTTTTTGTCCTTCTAGAGAGGAAGAGGAGGAAAGGGGGGGTTACACGCCTCCTTCCGTTTGTTTGCTTTTCTATCAGCCTATTCATTTCATAGAGCTCTGTCTTCGGTAGGTTTCTTCAACTGGATTCCGAAGGGGCAACCCTCCACCTTGCCTCCTTTTCTTGCAATTGGCCCATACCAACTAACCAAACCGGAAAAATTACAACGAAACCGGGAAGGGTGGGGGGGTAGCGGGAGCGAAGGTTATTTCGATACATCAGGGTATATTGCACCGTTCTCCTGTTGCCCCAGCTCGAAGCTGACGGGTTATATATTTTCCGAGACTGGCGGAGATTTGTGAAACGGGGAATTCAGGCCAACAAGAGACATCTTGACACCAAGGCGTGCCAAAGTTGAGTGGATGTTTGATGAAATCACTAGTCGACAAAAGCCCCGAGCGAGGGAGACTTTCATCTCTTGCCAGAAAAAAAGGACGACGGGGAGGAGCGCTGGGCGCTTTGGAAATCAACCAGATGATGTCCCCGACAAAAGCGACCAGGTTTGAGGGAGGAGGGCGAGTTTTCTGCTTTGGAGAGAAGAAGGAACTTGATGAAAGGGGCACTTTGCCCGCTCAGTTTTCTCTAGCGTGACTTTAGCTATCACTGGCGAGTCGGGATCCCCAGAAACGACCGGGGGGGGGGGGTTAATCGGTCATCAAATCTATGAACGTGAACGTGCGACCTGAAGCGCACTTAGACCTAGAAAATCCCACTGAACTTCACTGGAGACGGCCCGGTAAAAAGGCGCGGCGGGGCAGCGAAGCCTGGGAAGAGACCGCGCAAGATAGAGACCTCTTTTGCGCCAGGGGCCTTGGCTATTCTGCGAGCGTTTAGGATCAGAGCTCTGCAGCTGACGCTGGGCCAGCCTGTCCGTCGACCGATCTCCTTGTCACGAAAAACAAAGAACTAATAAATGGTTATCCTTTAGGGCAGTGTTTCTCAACCTTGGAAGCTTGAAGATGGGTGGACTTCAACTCCCAGAATCCCCCAGCCAGCGCTGCTGGCTGGGGGATTCTGGGAGTTGAAGTCCACCCATCTTCAAGCTTCTCAAGGTTGAGAAACACTGCTTTAGGGAGAAAAAAGAATTCAGAGAAGCGCTTGAAACGCTGCGCTGGGATCTCCCTTCTCCCATTTTTGGGGAGCCAGGGGAGTCCAGGATTCCTTTCCACAGCCACAAGGCCCCGCCTAATTTCTCCAAAGTTGCAAGAGCCCCGCCGGGAGCGGCGCCTTGTTTTCTAACCACTGCCCTGCGGCCCCCACCTTTTTTTTCCCCCTTCATCCCCCCCCCCCCAACCCCCCCCCCCCATCTCCTCCTGCGGGAGCCCGATCCTGCTCTGAAGCGGCTCGCTGGGAGGGAGCGGGGAGGGAGGGAGGCAGGGAGGGAGGCGCGCTTGGCGCGTCATCTGGCATCGCCGGTTCCCCCTCGAGTCTCTGCGCTCGGCGAAGCGGCGGCGGCGGTCGCGCGGGGGGTCATTGGCTCTTGTACGACGCGCTAGATTAGCTTCCGATTCCGTGTTGGGAGCGCGTGTTTAGCCCA